TTGCATTCCTTGACTTGCTTTTCCAGAAGTATGCTTAACAATAAATCTGTTATTCCTAGGCTACTTCTCTTATTTTTTTAATGTTCTGCTTCTGCAAATCTGATTTTCTCATGTTTTTTATTTAAATCCACCATCCTTAAACTTTATAACTACTTTCCTTCGGTTAAAATTTCATATATTTTTTTGGCTACTGTATTTCTGTCCCACTGATATCTAAAAGTGCTGGACTTGGTCTTATTCTTATCGTTTTCCGTTTTGAAACACTTGGATTTGGTCTATCAGCATTTGTCAATAAAGTACTTTTTATAGTTAAATTTGGCCTAACTGCGGTTGCGTAGATATGCCCCTTTCCACGACCCTACATTTATCTTCATAATATGTGCGACTTTAAGGAAATTGTGGTACGATAGTATGTACTTCATCTGTCTGCTTACTTCGTTGTTTAAATAATCGTCTATTACGAAGGGGAATTCCTGAGTCCGATAATATCGTAGGCCATGTTTACTGAAATTGTTGACCAGATTGGAATACAGGCAGTAGCTGTTCCATGTGTGTCACAGTTCTTTCACGCAAAATGCTTTAGTATAAAGTTGTTTGTCCACTTCGTAGTAGTTCACCTTACTTGACCCATTTGCATATATATGGACAATTTAAAAATTCCCATATTTATATGCTGTAGAGTTGTATGAATATAAAATAATTTTTGCCTCAACTGTATGAATAGAAATTGTATATGCAAAAATACACCTTCACGCCGTTAACGCATACAATTATGTAGGTGCGCTCTAAATAGTAAGTAGAAAATAATTAACAACTTGAATTCACTAAATTCCCTCATATCTATATGTCACAACTTTATTAAAACGGCCGTCAGTTGTCCTTTTTATTAAAGATACAAGGCAAATATTACGTATTTATATATATATATATTTGCTATCTTGATTGACTCTAATTGAACTTAGCTACACTGTTGCGATCTATGCTTTAACATATTCGGTTATTAAGAAAATATCCTATTCCTAGAGGCATAATTTTCATCTATTTATGTTTTATATATCCTTATATAGTATATACCCACAACCAATCTTCCTGATAACTTGATTCATAAATCCTACTCTCAGCCGACTGATAGAATATTTATGGCTGTATTTTTTCTATTCTGATGCTACTTTCAGGTGTTAATATGAATAAGCTAACCAGATGACAATTTGTGCCATTTCACATTCCCTTCGGAAAAATTAGTCTTCTCAAACATGATATTCTTAGGTATCTATATCTATATCATTCGGCTTTGACTCCAGCAAATTACTTATCCCTAGTTCCAACGCTGCCTGATCATGTTTAATTGTCTCTACATAATAGTGGTGAATAGTCAATTTATTCAATTCAGCCTTTGTTTATAGCTTTGTCCATCTGAGTTTTCCAACACTCCAGATTTCATTTTTATGGACCTAGGTCAAGAAAAGTAGCTTGAAATACAACCAAACTACGTTTGCCCTACACTGGTCACCGACAAGTTGTTCGTGAATTCTGATAGATTATATCCTTCTCTTCCCTTTGCTTACTGTATAGCCTCCAAATTGAATCATTAAATTGCAAATTTATGACTTATTTTTATCATGCGAATAATATCTACGCTCATATTCTCATTTTCTAGATTTATTTAGCTCTTGGCTGAACAAATAAATTCGCACATTTTAGGGGTAATATTTTATAGCAATATATCTGAGATAACCTCGTCCATACATATATCTTTTTTTCTCTTACTATTTCAGATTTTGCTTATTTAACCTAATCTTTTTAACCAATTTGTTCGTTTTAGTAATTACTGCTTACTTGCTTTTTACTTATTTTAACCACAACTTAAACTTAGCTGTTTAATCCAAACATGCTATTCACACTTTTTTCCTTTCATAACTGGCATTTATAAACTAACTGCTCATAATATATATAAAATATATTGACCCTTGCTTACCAAAACGGTATTCCAGAGCATTCTCTGGGTGGATTGTAGTTTCTACCTCTCCTAGGTCTTAGCACTTAGCGGCACACGAACCTTGGCAGTGCATTGTTTAATCTCGACATGTTGACCACTACGCCAAATTGCCCTTGATTCATATGGTAGATGTTTATTGCAAGGAAGGCAAGTCTTTTTACTATACCACATTCTATGTTAGGATTGTCGATTGAGGAAAGTTTCATTTGCCATATAAATCTACTACATCACTTAGTTTTCGTTTATGTTTTCGAGACTATTAGTCGATTATATATATGAAGATGTGATAAGGCCAAGGCATAGTCTTCCTTAAAATTCACATCTGCCTTGTGACTCCAGAGCGTTTGTGCCAGTGTTGTATAGTGGTTAACGTGTCTAGATTATATGCTGAACTCCTATGGTTTGAATCTCGCTGGGGGTGCTGCTGAGACCTAGACGAGGTCGAAACTGTAGCCCATCTTGAATGGGAATTTGTGAGAAGCAAGGATATGTAAGATTCAACGGAAACTCAGGGCATACTTATACTATTATGGTAAAGATTTAACTACCAGTCCTTTATCGCCTTAAATCAAATAGGGTGAATATATCCCATATGCTATTCATACGTTTGTATTTAAGCTCGGATAACCATGAGAAATTTGTACTATTTTTCCTATGTAAGTAGAGTTTCGAAAACGTCAGTTAATCAGTAATATGAGATGTATTCATCCTATTTCGTTTAAGGTGATGAGGACTGGTAGTAGAACTTTCCCACAATGATGTGAGTAGAGCTGACGTTTCCATTGAATTTCACATCCTTGCTACAGGTTGTGTAAAACAGTTTTTACTTATAATGGATACATGTTACTTGTTCCTATCAATTCCCTATTGCCATTTATGAAAAAGGTTAAGTACTCTGTGAAATACATTCGTTTTTTAATTTAATTAATTCCAAACTCACACTATTTTATATTCCTTGAGGCACTCTTCTCTCAAAATCTAATGTAGAGACTAGGTGGAGGCTAAGGGTCCTTCGTTAACCTGAAAATGAATCCTAACTGCTACCTACTATTGTTTTATCTTACCTCTCTTTCTAATAGATCTTTTTCTGGACTTTTATCTTACTAGATAGTTTTGTACCAAAATTTGCTGCCTTAAAGAGCCTTACGAACTAATAAAACGCTTTCTGATACATTACATATTATTACATTCTTTTTACAAGGGATATACATTTTTAGACCAAAAATCTGTTAACACAATCAGATTATCGTATATATTCTGTTCACTATCATCCTGTAGCAGCTGGGAAATATTTTCATTAATGAAGGATTTTTTTCTCCACCTACTCGACCTTAGGGATTGCAGAGAAGGTCGCCTCGTGGCTTTTATTTATTTCTCATTAGGAAATGTTTTGCGATGCCTTGGATTGCGTTGACCCTTTCCTCGGCCTTCGTGATCTTTGTCTTCGGGCATCACAGATCTCATCATGTCCGTCTGATACTCTCGACTTCAATCCCAGTCATCGAGCTAATGAGCAGACTATCTCTGCCTACCTATCACTCAACGATTGTCTGCTTCATGAACTTTATCATCCTAATATTTTCAGCCGGCTGATTCTCACCTTTGCTGACATCCATCCAGCACCTTCATCTTCGCCGTTAATTAACTCTGTTTTGCCTGTATCTGCAGCATCGAATCTGGCTGGATCATCCTTCTCAGTTATGCCCGACTGTGCCGGCTCAAGTGATTTGGCGGCCGAGGATAAGGCCGAAAATTTGAAGCGCTGTCGCCAAATCCTACATTGCCTTTTTCAGCGAAAAATATATCCAGCTATTGGTGTCATCTACTGTTCTGATAAGGCTTATTCACTTCCCAATTTTGACGATGTTACCTTTCCACACAGCTTCGAAAAGCCAATGAAGTCCACTGGGAAGCCACGTCTCACTTACCCAGTCCAGGTATCTCTCATCATTTTGAAATTTTCATAAGTTTCTATCTTATTTAAGTTTTCGATATCCTTTTAATTTTCTGGAATTTATTTAATTAATTTTATTGAATGCTACTCAGTATATTCATGCTGTTTGTCTGGCGGTTTATAAATCATATTTGTTTCATAGACGTAGTTTGACCTTGTTTTCGCAACTCGGTCATATTGGTAGGAAGACTTAGAGGAACGCATCTAGTCCGGAGTC